CTCGAGCCATGGCACATTCTCAAAAATTAAATTTTTTTACCATTTATACTATTTATCCGCTATATCTTTTTGATGTTTCAAATGGAATTCTTGAAACCAATTACATGATCATCATTCAAGATATGATTCTACATCCAACTATTGAACATAACAGCTTTCTTGAAAGAACACGTCAACTTGCTTCATTAAATTCATTTCTTCTTTGTCTGTTACTATGAGATAATCACTTGATGAAATCATTGTTAGTTTACAAAGATTCATCAAGTATCATTTTATCGATTGCACTTCATGGACCGCATATCATTAAATTATACGTTGAAAATCCACAGACGGCACATCATCATCAAATTCTAGCAAAGTTCTTCTAACTATATGTTGCAGGCTATTGTGTGGAAAGTAATGGCTTGGAAATTCCAACTTGGATGCAAGTTTTGCCAACATAGTTGCAAATGTGATAATTTTGCACATCCTTGTCATTACTTGCATAAGTGATTTTGTGAATGTGAAAAAAGTGTGATAAAACGTAAATACATATCACATTTTGGTTTTGCAAATTTAATGTAGCTACCGATGAAGTAGTGTAGTTATAAGACAAAGCATGTAGTCAAAGTCAACGTGACATAACGTCACGTTGACTAACGAACGTTTGATCAAAATTTGATGTGTCCATGAAAAAACAAGTAAAGCAGTAAAGAAAGTCATAAACACTTGTGTCAATGTAACTCCACAACTGTCCATCAACAAGCAGTAAAGGTGTCATAAACACTTGTGTCAATGTAACTCAACAACTGTCCATCAACAAGCAGTGAAGGTGTCATAAATACTTGTGTCAATGTAACTCAACAACTGTCCATCAACAAGCAGTAAAGGTGTCATAAACACTTGTGTCAATGTAACCCAACAACTGCCATCAACAAGCAATAGAGGAGCCGTAAACACTTGTGCCGATGTAACTCAACATCTGCACATCAAGAGTGTGATCATTGGTCTTTGCATTTGACATTATTATTTGGATATTACTTCTGAGCAAGACGTATCAAATCGCATTTTATGTCATCACTTTTCATCTCGATAAGAAGCTTCTGAGTCACTAAACGTTAAGCTCATATTGTAACAAATCAAACTTTGCAAGAAGATGATGATCACTATGTTGATCTCAATAAAAAAGTTTAAGTTTGATATATGATTCATAAACAAAAATCAGCAAATTTTCACCAATCAACATAGTGTTTGGAAGATTGTAGATTACCATTTCGTTCGTTTCGGGAAAAAATTTCCATCACAATGAGAACCCATGATTAAGACATTAATCTTTTGTAATAAAAGTTGTTGCTAAAAAACGGATGTGGATCTTATATTGATCAATCTTTCTAAGATCATTAAATATGTACATAGTAATGGCAATCAAAGATACCCAACGAATAATCAAAGGACTGAGCAATAACTGAATATAATACAAGGTTTTGAAGTCATATAATATGAATGGAAAGCTATGTTCAATAGGAATCTATGAAATATGTTTTCAACATCAACAATTATAAAACAAAAATATTGCAAATTCTTAAAAACTTGTAACTAGCTTTTAAGAGCGCATGACACTAATAGCAATGTTGTTACACTCACTTCTGCATAGAACATTTGAACATTCAAAAACTCTCACAACTTTTGTTCGCATTGCAACAATCTGTGGTCTCTCCTGTTGCAACCGTGCATCAATATTAGAATGTGGATGACATGTGATGTTGGTAGAATTTCATTGAATAAAACAATATGTGATGGATCTTAGTAAGCTATTTTTGTTACATATATGTTCTAGTAAGTTATTTTTGTTACATATGTATATCATCAAGAAATATAGTTAAGTATATACAACATTTCTTCAAAAAAGCCATAGGGGTAGCATCAAATTATTTTTTTTCTGCTCTTGTTGAGTATATACAACAATTCCTGGAAAAACCGTGACATGTTGTAATTCTCTTGGGCGTAGGATGAGTTGAATAATTTTCCACTTTCTGGCTTCATCTAACCTCTTTGATTACTTTTGCTTTTGTGTGTCATTCTTCTTGTGTCATGATTGTTATAACAAGTCATAAATGATTATATGCTAGCTTGACAAAATTGTCATCTATGTATGACAAATTGACTTACTTCCATATTTAATTCCAAAAATGAGTGTTTAGTTTTTCCTTCCAAACTGTTTAGCAAAAATTTGAAAATTTGATATCACACCAAGTGTAAGATTTTAATATCTTTCTATAAAATGCTTATTATTGGATTTCCAATAGCTTGATGATTTTCTCCTTAGTGATGTTGTATATAAAACTTGACTAATTATCTTTATTCAATTTTGAAGATACACCATGTTTTACATGTAGACTTAGTCTTGTCTAAATATGATATATTAAGTGATACCAGAGATAGTATCACCTAATATATAGTAGGAGGTAAGAATGCAAGAATCCCACTGGAATCGATTGGATATTTTTTATAAATTAAACTCTAACACAAGCGTCATCAGAGAATGGCTTTTAGAATAATGATGTTGGCTTAACTTATTTTCTTTTTGCTTTGATTGATTGATGGAAAAACACATCACTAAAATACAATTATGAATATATGCCAACAAATAAGTGATAGAAGTTCTTCATTCTTGGATTGCATACAGGTTTGTAGTTTGTGAATTAAAAGAATAGCTGATTAAACTTTGCTAGACATTGATACCGATTTTGTGATGACTTTTACAAGGTCAAAGAGGTTGTAAACTATCAGCTCAGATGTTATTGCCTACACACCTGATCACACAAAATTAAACTCAAGAGCGTGTTCTGTGATGACTTTTACAAGGTCAAAAATGTTGTAGACTATCAGCTCAGATGTTCCTGTCTACACACCTGATCATACAAAATTAAATTCGAGAGCGTGTTTGTAGACAAATATACCCACGAGTTGCGGATGGAAATGGCTAAAATTGCAAGGCTAAAATTACTAGGGAATGTGAACTAATACACATTTCATAGTCTTTGAATTCGTTTCATTATAAGATTTCCATCATATTTTTCCATATATACCTCTTTGAATTTACAGGATGGAAATTTTACTGCAATTTTTTAGTTATTTCATTTAGGATGTTTGTTTGTTTTAGTAGAATCATCACATTAAAGAAGAAAATTAATGTCAACTATTTTCACAAGTGGATCAAAAAGTGAGAGAGTGAAGAATTTAGCATGTATTAAACGTGTTTTTTGAGTTACGATAATATGTTGTAGAAAATAATGAATTCACAAGTTATGAAACAATCAGAATAGTTATATATTATTACTAAATTCTAGAAGTGAAGGATAAAATGTCATTTTTTATCTCTCATTTCTTGTCTTGTAAAGAATCTTTGACAAATTGGAATCTTTTTTCAACATTTTATTCTCAATATAATTTTCAGTCATAGGAGATGGCTACAGAAATTCATATATGAAATCTATAACTATTCTTGGTCTAGAGAGATTCCTATTATCATGTGTTCGTCCTCATCTTGTATTTTCCATGCTATGCACTTTGAATCTTGACACTAGATTCAAATTTTTATATATCCAAACAGGGAGGATCTTTATTATCGGGCTTTGAGAGACAGCTTCATACTTTTACATCATACTTTCTAAGTAGTTGTAAGTACACTTTGTGGAGTGGAGTAATATGATGTTCATGATTTTACCTTTGAAGTATTCAGTTGTAGTTGTAGATTTTTTAACGAGTTCTGATGTCTACCTTAGGCAAAAGCAAATATGCTTAGAAACTGTATCGTTATCTTTGAGTTCTAGCTCATTGAAAGAACTAAAAGGTCATAGATCTTGTTCATGACAACTATGATAGAAACCTTGGACCTTAATATGAGATGTTATTTCCACGCTTTTGCTTGTTTTTGTTCTCTTCCTGAGTTATATATTCTTGTTGAGCACTTCAGCAACTACGTTGTCTTCGTGATGGGGTGCGGAGTTTACTCCTGCATTGCCTTGTGTAGCCAATCCCACATTGAGTTCATCTTAGAAATGTGATTCCGTATAACCTAGATCACATATTTTAACTTCCTAGTACCCAGAGTTTAAAAATTTTAGGCCAGATCCCAGAAACAAACCTGGTTAGTGGGTTTCTGAAACAACGAAATGTATTTCAATCATTGGATTTTTTAGACATTTTGAGAATAGTTAAGAAAGAGCGATATATAACTCTCGATTCACTACTTCAACCAGTCTATAAATTAACGGAGGTGGAACAAAAGTCCCCACGTTGCCAATAATTTCGTATAGGATATGAAACTAAAATTTTAGCCTTGTGGAAATAACAATTGTCTCAGCTGGACGTGAAGCTATACGAATCACAGGGTCATAAATACTAGAATATAACTTAACCCTTTAGGCAGTTCACTGGCGTTTTACAAATTTACTAATGCAGGAGAAAGGGATGACTTTTGTTATCGCGCAGCCAACAGTAGTAAATTCATATCTATAGTGCTCTAAATGCATGCACAAGTTCATGGGTTTTAATTTGTATTACTCCAGTCAACTGACGAAAGGGTTCTAGAGAGTTAAGTTAGTCGATGGTGTTATCACTTAGCTATAATATATTACACAAGTTATTATAGCTAAGTTTGTTATCATCGACTGCGTTGGAATAGTACAACACATATTATTTACAGTGACATGATCCGAATGCTCATGCAAAAGGGTAAACAGGTATCGTCCCGTTCCCTGGCTTTAGCTGTGATACTCGGGGTGACATAGAAACACTCATCATTGTGTAAGACGAAGAAATAGTTGGACCTATTCATCCACGAAAGTTCTTCCCAAGGATTTTCAATTCATTTATTTTTAATATTCCTGTCATATTCCTGTCCTTCTTGTCCATGCATTAGATTCGACTGAAGTTTCTAACGTGGCCCTTAGGACATGGCGTTTCTAACTGATGAGCACTGTAAGTATAGAGATGGCCAGCGAGTTCAGTGTGGAACGCACTGGGATTGTATACAGCCTGCGAACATCGTATGGAGCTGACTCGGTCCCTTAGATGAGTTTACTGGAATCTGTGATGTACACCCTAAGCATAACGCACGTCCAGTAGCATGGCGTCCTGATTCATATCGTGCTTACGTCTTTCCGAGCTCTACAGGCAAAAACGAGAGGTATTGACTTTACTGGAAATATGACATGCTATACGCGCGGTGGGGTCTGAGGGAATCGTAAGCAGCGTAAGTCTTGTTACTGATGTCGGACAAGTTGTGCTGGATTGGGTTCGGGGTTGCGATGGAAAAGTTGGGTCCTTTCCAACATCGAGTAGGAGCTAGTGGAGGAAGAAGGGCTTTTATGTAAAGTTTTCAGCGAAGCGTCAATCCATCGTTTGGAGGACATATAGAAAGCCAGATGTGTGTAGAATGGCCAATTTACTGCGTCGGTTCGAAAGGTAATACAGTGCACACCTTGTTTACGGGATTATTCTTTGTAGTTTGATGCTGCTGCGGAGCTCCAGCTATTCTCTACACAGATAATTCGAGACTGCGGTTCCGATGCCGTTATGCGGCAAGTATATTCCTCCAAAGTGCAGAGTGTATGGAGCTCCTTACTCGATATGCACGAGCAGAGTGATCATGACCCTTATGGAGAAGGAAGTCGACTACGAACTGCGTTTACTCGATACCGCGGGCAGAGATTTTAGAATCCTCACCAAAGAATACAAGGAGCCCAGATATTTGGCTCTGCAGGTAAATTTTTCACCTTCAATTTCAAGGTTTTGGCAGTTCCGATGGCGTCACCTAGTGCATAAACATTCACTCACCCTCGTCAATTTTCTGCCTTGTTTCAGCCCTTCGGAAAGACTCCCCTCTTTCAAGACAGCGAAGTGAAGATGTTTGGTGAGTGCTTGCGATAGCTTAACCATGCGGCTGTGAGATGTGAAAAATCTTTGATCAGTGTACATTGCACATGGTATCGAGTTAATGCATTAAGCTGGTGAATAAATCCCTTCATTGTCATCGTTATGTCATAAAATTAGGGATGTCCTTTGGTGTGGCCAGAGTCTCGAGCTATCATCAGGTACATTGCCCGCAAGCACGACGATCATGGACCTCATCTGTATGGAACGAACGAGAAAGAGAGAACAATGGTGGATCAGTGGCTGGAGGTTGAAGCCCAAAACTACAATCCGGCCATAGCACCTGCTGTATTCCATCTTGTCTTTGCGGCTTGGTTTGGTAAAATTGGCGATATTAGAGTTATCAACCCAAGTCTCGAGAGATTGGAGAAGGTGTTGGATATTTATGAAGCGCAGCTCATGAAAACCAGGTACTTAGCAGGTGATTTTTTCAGCTTGGCAGACTTGTCTCATCTCCCTTTTACACATCTTCTTATCAACCACGCTGGAAAAGGAGACCTTTACAGTAAGAGGCCTTTTTTGAAGGCCTGGTGGGAGGATATTTTTTCTCGCCCTACATGGTTGAAACATCTCGCCAAGGCATTCCCCCACATATACTACGATCCAAACGAATAACGGCCGTAGTTTTTGCCTTGGAGAGGCCTGAAACCACGGCCTGATCAACTTGCATCCTTTGATGCAAGTACCTCTGTGAACACTGTACGCGATAAATTGCGTCCGCGTTGAAGTAACTCTTCAGGTATCCAACGAAGAGAATCTTTGAACAGAGAACACGATTAAATAAAACGAATTACTTCGAGAAAGTGTTTGAGGGTTCGACATCGTAGTACTGTGATCTCGCTCGGAAGCGAATCGTGGTCTCGAGGTCTTTTGCTCCCTTGTAATATACTTTCGTATTGAGCCATTGCCAGTAAGATCTGAGATCACAGTTTCCAGCCGCACTAGAGTCTGCGGTCCAATTTCCTGTACGTAAATTGCTTGTCACGCGGTCAAGCGTGATTCACTCTCACTCTTGCTCGCCTCCTTTCACCTCATTCTATTCTTACAGACAACAACGCTGGCCCAGATTTGAGTCGGCGAATGACAAGAGTCTGGAGTTTAACTGCGCCAGAAACATCGCATTTAGAGTTAAGTGTGCATTTACCCGGTTGAATTTCGATCATATTCGGAATGCTGATAATGGATTGGGGAAAATTGAACCCTCTTCAAACTCTGAGTCCTTCAAATTATGCTATTCCAGTCCGCTGTATTCAAAGAACGAAGGTTTCTGAGATTTCCTCCGTGTTCGGTATATACGTAGAAGCTCCCACTAGTACTATCATTAATCAATTTCGATGTAAAATTTCCCTGAGCCATCGACGCGCTGTCAAAGTAATGAAGCTAGGAAAGTACGCAACAGAAGAATAAAGAATGAATGGAAAACACGAAAATTCCATCTTGGTATTCGAGGCAAGAAACCATGGAATTCGTCGTCAATCCTAGTCCGGGTACATCTGTATTGAAACTACTCCGTACAGAACAGAGAAAGCTAGGAATCCTTGATGTGCCACGTTCCTTTTGAGCTCTGTAAGCAGATTGAAGGACCTTGACAACCTTCCAGATCTCCTCTGTTCTCTCTTGCCAACTAATTGCCAAAATTGTTACGGTCGAATGAGTTCCAGCTCAGACTTTATGATCTGATATATTTTGACGTCAAACACAATTTGGAAAACATTGTGTTATGTGTCACTCTTGGCCGGGTACAACTGATTATTAGTCTACTGTGTATCATGTCATAATATACCTAGATGAAACATAAGATCGTTTAAAAAAATAATGCCAATGCTCCCATCATTCTAAATTTTCATCCATTTAAGCACAAAAATGTCAAAAAATTAAAATTGTCTTCATCATTGACTTAACTTATCTAGTTGATCACTTTAAGGTTTTCCCATTTCATTTCTGATAATTTGCTAAGGTCATAATATAAATTATTCATAATTGATTTCTAGTTGATTGCAAAATGTACAAAACTCAATCCATGATAAAAAAAACAATACGTGTTAAAACAACAAGTTGACTAAGCATTAAATGATATTATTAAGTATGAAAAATCATTGTAATCATAAAGCTCCACAGCAAGTCGGAAGATCATCTTGCACTAGAGCAAGATGATATTCCAATGTAAATCTTTAGTGAAGTGTTCGTACTTGCTTGGGAAGTAAGTCTTCGCTTCATACTGATCTGGTTGTACCACTAGCTAGATAGCCAAAAACGGCAGCCTAACTAGAGCTTCTTTCATAGTTAACAAGTGCTTGATGTCAAGCATTTGTTCGCAAGCTGGATACTTGGACTTGGACTTTAATTATAGTATTTGAGCAAGACTTTATGACACAATAAGCATTTCATTTAATCCCATTTCACTGCATACCTAATGCCTTGATGTTAGCCTGTGTGATGGATGGCTTGGCTAGAGCTTCTGCCATAGTTAACAAGTGCTCGATGTGAAGCATTGGTTAGCAAGGTGGGCCTTTAGACTCTCGTAATAGTATTTGAGCTAGAGTTTATGACACAAGAAGCATTTCACTGCATATCTAATGCCTTGAATCTACCATGTGTGATGGACCAAGGTTTGGCTTGAAATCCATAGCAGAGGCCAACATTTTACTTCAAATAAACCTAAGCCCACCGGGTTACATCAATTCTTGGTTGGCTTTTGACAAACACTGCACTTAGCATTACTTGTGCAAATCCATGGAAAAATAATGTCACCCAAAACCCATGGGCGTGGGTGGATTTAGGGATGGGTATGGGCACCCAATGTTGGGCTCTGCTTTGCAGTGGAGGTGTAATCCTACCACTCTCTTTTATGTCTTACTTTGATGAGATTTTGGTTGTATTCATGTGACATACTTTGGTGGATGCTAATTGTATAGTCTAAGCACGGCTAAACTTATTAGTAGAAATCGGAAGATACTACCAAGTTTTGGTTGTCTTGTTAGATCTAATTCTTGTGAGTTGAGATGATAATGAGTGAGTGAGAGAGCCAGAGATGCTACTAATAGTTGCAAAACAAAAGAGCACAGCACCAATAGAACCACTTTAGGATCCAAAAACCTCAAATTAAACACTCAGATCTTGGATTCGATTCTACAACGACACTAATCTCCTTCTCAAAGCTTGAAGATGACAATTTTTTATCAAACAACTTACTTGTATGTAAATGTAGAAATAAGTAAGATCAAATCCAATAAATGAACAACTAAACAAAGCAAAAATGATCATAATAGACGTCCCAAAAATGAAAATTGGTAAAAATAAATGCACGTAATTTTTTGTAAATATATTTTCATTATACAACAAATTTGATTGAACTTGTTATAGACTTACACATAAACTCCAAACCTAGTAAATTAAAAAATTTCATTCAAGCTAATTTTGAAAGAATAGATATTTGTTTGACTTCATCAAAAACATAATGCGGTAAATAAAATTTTCATTGCACTTTTTATAGATTGTTATTTTTCTAGTCTAACCAATCATAGTTAAAATAAAATAAATGAATCAAAGATAAAGTTAAACTATTGTAAAAACTAACAATAATGTCAAATGTTGAATAAAGTGAATCTGTAGTATGAATAGTATTTAAAAAGTTGAAAAATGTGAGTGAATAAGAAAATATTATAGTAAAAATTATGAAAATGTTTTGAGTATTGCTTCAAATCTAAATCAATGAATAATATAAAATGTTAGATATATATAAGCATTTGTATTAATTAAAAAAATTACTCAAATAAGTATTACGGTACAATCGCAACTATACAAATTCTTGAGTTTAGTATTCATTATGATTATAGTCTAGAATTAGATTATCCACGCAAGCTTGAATGAACACTTTGTTCTAGCAAATTTGTCATCACCTTGAAACATGAATGCTTTTCATAAACACATCATCAATGTAATTAGCTGTGAAGATCTGTAAGTTGCAAAATATCCATATATGAAGTTGCAATCAATGCATGACCACAAGCTAAGATATTAATATGTCTCAAAAACATACTCATATCTCCAAATATTTTTTGCAACAATGTGCGGAATCATTTGATGTTAACTTTCATTGAAATTTTTTTTATAATTGAGCTTAGAAAACCTTGTAATATATTACTTAAACTCAATATCAACGATTTTATCTTTCATTTTTTTCATTTCTCTTCAAGTTAATGTTAAAATACTTTAGTGTATATTATCTAAAACTTATGAACGAAATAATATATCATAATATAAAGCGAAGCATAAGAATATTTTACATAATTTTGTTTAGAATATGATTATAATTTTAACTACAAAAATATACAAGTGGATAACATATTACATATTTTTCTACATTGCAAATATTTTGAAAACAATCCAAATTCTTAATGATCAAAATTTCAACACTGGACATACTATCATTATTGACTTAGTTTAAACTTCAAATAATTATATATGTATATATAAATACCACATTTCCTTTTTTGGAATTAATTAAAATGCTAATATCACACTTATTGTATATTTGGAATATCTAATAATTTTAAAATTTGGATTGAAAATGGATTTCTTATTTTTCAAATCAATATAATGATTTACATGATATTCACAGGTGAGTTATTTATACATGTCGTATTTTCTTTCTCAATATTAATTGAAGCATAACTTGAATTTAAAACGAATGAACTGCATTTGAAAAGATTTCATTATTAAAAATACTAAATTTAGCATATATTTGTGTTTTAAGCTACGCCAATTAAAAGTAAAATATAAGTAAAAAGTCAAATATTAATCATTCAATCTATTTTTTTATACATTTTCTTTACGAAGTCATAATAAATTTTACTGAAAGTTGACAAAGTAAAAAAAAATAATCTATAAAAATAGATCACCAATAGAATTGTTTCGAAAACCTTGTATTCTTACTTTTGAAAAAAAAATTCAAATGCTAGCGCTAGACACGTTTGCGGAAAACGTTATTCGGCCATAAGACACCAACCGAGATGGAAACAGGGCGAGAGGCTAACAAGATCACCTTGACTTGACGAGAACACACCAATTTGACCACGGAGTACGAGGAATAAACGAATATAAAATGTAGTAAGATAATACCATCCGCATGCATACATCTTGCGATGGTGGTGTACACGGAACGAATCAAATATATGTCAACGCACTTCTCCGACCCTTTTAGCTCAGTCCGAGGTTTCTGGTCTGTTTCAGCTCTTCTCTGCTTGAACAGCTGATTATTTCAATCCGAATAAAATTCAAATTTGTAAGTAAAAATCCGACAAAGTGTGGCTGGAAAGTGTTTGTCAAATGCGACGAGGTCGACACTTTGGGTCTCGCTCTCCTGACGAAATTAGCCAGCACAAGTGGAATTGTGGAGTATGAGATACGTAAATTGTGATATTTACATGCATCAATCACACAAAGTTGACTAGGTATAGCGACATCTTAAAAATGAATCAATTTCTGCAGTCGACCTTCTCAATTCTGCATTTCGTAAGGCATAAGCTAAGTTTGGAATCTGGTAACGGATTTCACCCCAAGGATAGAAAGTAGGAAATAGGAACGGGCAGGATGAGAGATCACGAATAAGCTATTCTGCCCTTGTTGGGGTAGTTGCTGTTGCAGTGAGTACAGTTGGCAGAGTGACGCCCAATTCATCGAAGAAATGCACACCTGACTAGAACATACAACACTGTGACGGAAGAGACACTGGTGATAATATTATTCCACAAGCCAGAATCCAGGCTCTATTTGCCTCTCATAAGTTTCCTATAGTTACCTGCATACATTCATGATAGCCGACCCTAACCAGCCAGCCACCTTCATTCCTTCCTACCTTCGGCAGCAGCCTCTACCAGCCCTCGAAGTCTTTCTTCTCTCAGTTAGTACGTTCTGCGCTGTTGTTCTCTATTTCTTCTGCTACGTCGTCTCCTTCTCTTCGTTGGGTGGCCTCAGCTGCGACGGCAAATCATCTGCAGAATTGAGAAGAACTTGGACGAAGCTTGATTAACAGCTGTGAGTTCCTACATGTCTACTTCCTTTCTGTCCGGGTCCTGATCGTCTCGGGAAAGAGTGAGGTCTTAGAAATGAATTCTTTTGTGGTAAACGAGATGTTAGTCCCGGGACGAACTTCAGGAGCATGAATTTAAGTTTCGAATGAACTTTGCGATTACAGTGATTTACTGGTCTCTCGATGGCTGCTCTCACAGGCGTCCTGGTGCACACATTGCCGTATTCCGTTGTTTAGGAGGTCTTTTGCGCTGTCTCAGCTAAGTTCCGAGGGACAGGCAGAAGAGCTGGCTTCTTTAAGTAGTGAAGTCAGTAAGGCCGGCTCCAGCATGGCAAGGAAGAAGAAGATGAAATGGCAATCCAAAGGCCCGAACTTTTCATCGAAGGATGGTAGCACGACTATGAACGTGGATGGAGACGAGGACAACGGAAGCGACGGCGGAGAAGGGGAGAATGCTGCAGGATCGGATGTAGTTGTGTCACCGTCTGGGGATTCCGAACCCACAAGCGCCGATTACTACTTCGACTCGTACGCGCATTTCGGTAGGTTTTCCATACTTCTCTGGAGTTCGACATATTGCCTGCGGATTACTTCCTCCTCTGCGACTCGTGGCGCTTTTGAGTTTCGTCGTGCAAATTCAGCGTTAGGGTCGGACCCCTCTTCGGAATTGATTCAAGCTCCCTAACTCTTGTGCCCGAGATCAAACGAGTCACTTAACGCAAAGAATTAGCTAGATGGAATTTTATGTCGTGGTTTTGCATAATATTAGTATCAACATTCTCTTCGAAAGCGATCGCATTACAGACTAGTTCTCGTCTCTCCGTATACATTCCTTTCTGTGTCTTGCATTCTACTATTTGCTCCCCGTCAGAGTAGATGCCTCCTTTCGCCTTGGTTACATCGGTGGTCTCGCGATGGTGGACTTCGGAGTCACTCGCGTGGGAGTTCAGAGCTATGGTCGTCAGGATTGAGACACAGCCACTACAGCCGTAGGGAGTATTTCCATCAAGTCGTGTTTTAGGGCAAAAAACCTAACATTCGCCTTGACGACATCTTTGAACAGGCTTGCAAACTACAGTTTACAGTTCACAGTCACACAGTTTACAGTTCCTAAAGGATACACTGTGACCAAGTTCAACTTAGTTGGTAATGAGCGTCGTGTCCTTCCCGTTACAAGAGGCCTGCATATACACATCAACTCCCTTAATGCTCCATGTACCGTAGCCAAGATCTTCAGTACCCTTTGTTGACACTTGTACGTCCTTCTACCGTAGGTTCTGAACAAAGGTAGGGGTAACAATGTCAGCTGACCAGGTGGTTATGAACATGCTCCAAGTGGACCCATACAACTACCGTATGGATATATGTATCTTTAACACCGCTTTCAGGACGCTGCCAGCTGCGTGACAGCTCCACGGCGCGGCAACGTGTCATACCGCCATTCGTCTGCAATGAACTTAGCCTTCTCAAGCCATAAATTCTTATGCGCTCCTGGCACCAATTTGCAGTCAGTAGTGAAGAGAGTACGGGGCTCATTCTCTGCGTGGGTCCGATGCGCAATTTCAACGTTTCTTGCCTCATGTTCTGAACTTCTTGATCGATCCCTACAAAAAGCGCCTGTGGTTTCATCTTCTGTCATACCGCTTTATCTTTACCTTTCGAAATGTTCGGTGTGATATTGACGCTCTTAAACATCAATGATTACTTGCTTTTCATTCTCGCACATAGTTTTCGTAATTTTCAACGTTAGACTATCAACTAGTTGACGATCGTAAGATAGAGCCAGGTGCCTGAGAAGCGAACGAAAGTTGTTTGGAAAGACTTCTCTGTATCTGGTTTACTTCTTATGCGGTTGAACCCGTAATAGTAAATTTGTGGTCTCACTCCCAGCAAGTAGCAAATCCAATTGATTTTTTGCCTACTTGATTTCATTTTGCAGGTATTCATGAAGTGAGTATCATCTTCTTGCCGCGTACTCCCGTATTCTCTCTTTTGTGGCCCGTTTTCGAGCGCGTTCTTTTTGATACGAAGGGTGTTTTGTAGAAGGTTGAGTATATGTCACCATGGATCAACGGAGAGTCAAATCACTGACTCTTGATCCAAGGGTAATGTTTCTCTCGAAACTCAATGACACGCACAAACCTATTCTTAGGTTCCAAGTCCGAGACAACTACTAATTTTGATTTAGGAGCGATTGACATGCTTACGTATTCTTTCTCATCCTGCAGGAAATGATCAAGGACACTGTGAGAACGAAAACCTATCAGAATGTTATATATCAAAACCAGTTCCTGTTTAAAGACAAGATTGTCCTTGACGTGGGAGCTGGAACTGGTATCTTGTCCCTGTTTGCTGCGAAGGGAGGCGCCAAACATGTCTATGCTGTACGTGTCTACTTGTCTCACCTTGAGTGTATACTGGATACATATGCTTTACATACTTACACTCACACATTTGGAAAGTTGAAACCGCACGAACGAGGAAAAAGTCAAGGATAGTTTTGTAGAGAGGCGTAGAATCGTTATACTCTAGCATGAGCAGACCCAGCTCAAATAATGGAAAAGAATATTGAGAAATCAGTCTGGAAGCAACTTGGAATCAGGAGGATCACGCGTGTGTTTGCATTTGTGCTTGAACATTGCCCTTACCGATGCAGGCCCATATTAAATGATATGACAGGTGGAGTGCTCTTTGATGGCCGATACGGCAAGGGAAATTGTTCGTGCGAATGGATACAGTGATGGTAAGCCATTATCTGGTCCCTTTGCTTAATGGTAGTGAGTGCAGGGCTAGTGCCACTCAAGGCTACTCTCTGGAGCGTTTAAACAGAGGCATTTACTACTAAGTTTGTGTTACTATTTCACAACTACTTTTGTCTAAGTAGTCATCGTGTATGATTCGTTTCTGTCTTACTTTAGTGCGCCCTCTTGTTTTTTCAGTGATCAGTGGAAATAATCATTACTCACCACCTGTGGAATTGCAGTGATCACTGTACTCAAGGGTAAGGTTGAGGAAATTGAGCTGCCAACGCCCCACGTGGACGTCATAGTGTCCGAGTGGATGGGCTACTTTCTTCTATTTGAGAACATGCTGAACACAGTTCTCTACGCACGGGACAAGTGGCTGGTAATGGCTCTCAGCTTACTCAAGGCATAGATCAGGCTGAAGATTTCCTATATCCAGCCGTCCACCTCGCACACTACACGTCAGTAGTTAGCCTAGTGGGCTCTTGGGTGATGTACCTTTTCTTGACTAGGGCAGCTTATGAGGAGTCTGTGAAACTTTCATGCTTCTAAGCCTTGTTTTTCCTCACCTCTCAGGTGCCGAATGGAGTGGTCTTACCTGATAAGACTTCTCTATATCTGACAGCCATTGAGGACGCAGATTACAAGAACGAGAAAATGGACTGTACGCACACCTCCGTACTTATGATGTTCTTGTTTGTATGATAGAACGTACTTTGTCTTTCAGCATCTATTAGATCCCTTGATTTCTTCGCATAAGAATTGTATGTTCCAGGGAAAACAAATTTTAAACCGAACACCGCCTAAGTGTCTGTGTACAAAGGCCTGAATTATTGATATATCTGTTACTAATGGCAATTTCCGGCTTACAGTTTGGAACTCTGTCTATGGGTTTGACATGAGCTGCATAAGGAAGCAAGCAATGCTGGAACCATTGGTTGATACCGTCGACGCCAATCAGATCGTGACGCACTCACAACTTTTGAAGGTGCGTGTAACGAGTAATCTTTATGAATGTGTGAACGAAGTACTGTTCTTATCTTCTTGTCAAACGATTAGAAAGGCCGAATCTCTTTCGAGAAGAGAGCGGAGTATAGTGCTGGATATTGGTGATAACAGAGGAAGCTGACTGATCTGATGGTTCTGCAGACCATGGACATCAGCAAGATGAGCTCCGGGGATGCATCTTTCTCAGCTCCTTTCAAGTTGGTTGCTACAAGAAATGACTTCATCCACGCTTTCGTTGCCTACTTCGATGTTTCTTTCTCGAAATGCCACAAGGCCACAGGCTTTTCCACAGGTATAGCCACTGACTAGCTCGATCCTTTTCCCGAGGCAGATCAAAACCTTTTGCGAATGTGTAGTTAGTGATTACAGTGAGTTCATGGCTTTGCTCTGTCTTGTGGACCGTACTTTTTCATCACACTTGCGAGCTTTCCCTTGTATCACTAACTCCGTCTTTGTCCAAAACAGGACCGAAGTCGAGGCCCACGCATTGGAAACAAACAGTGATGTACCTGGAGGACACTATCACCATTTGCGAGGGAGAGGCGCTCACCGGAAGTCTTAGTGTTGCACCCAACGCAAACAACCCACGAGATCTTGATGTTACAGTTCAGTATTCCTTTAGCGGAAAGAGGTGTCAATGTTCGAGAACCCAACACTACCGAATGCGATGATGTCTCTGAAGCTCGTGAGGGTAGTTCATAGTGGTTCAATTGTAGGTTAGTTGTCGCTCGAGCTTCTCGGCCCTGGTACACGGTATACTAATTTTGTGGTTCAAGTGTATCTGCATTAGTTGCTAACAGGGTACGAAACCGGGCAATAAATTCCTTCATATCATCGTCACTATTTTCTTTGATAGATTTATCCGATCAAAATCGATCTCTTTGTCGGATGTGTTGACACGCGTTCACCCAAGGTGTGAACCTAATTTCACTCGGACTTTGAAGTATTATTAAGTCCATCCTGTCAGTGAACAAGGGTCTCCATCGAAGGTAGTTCCTGTCAGGACAGTAAAGTCAGGAGAACTCTCTGTTGAAATTCAGCAAGCCCCTTGTTTGGGATGAATTCCATGTTAGGTCTGCTGGACAGACGAGCTCCGCGCACTTGTTCTTTGTGTCTCCTGCTGTATTCATTCGACTTGTCTTCTGGGAAGAGTCCGTGCTAAGATGTTTGTATCATAACTTTTGTTTTAAGTTCAAAGGAAATTTCAAACTTAAAGTTGTTATATATGACACGAGATGCACACTACCTTTACTCCTTCTCACATGAGATTGAGGATGGGATGATGGATGTCGACAATTATTATATCGCCACGTCAAAGTAAATGTACGAAGTCCATACAACCCTGAAATTGAGCGATTTTTTAAGGGTTTAGATAAAACTTACGCATTAAGTCCATACTTCTCCTATGCGTCACTCAGAGCAGTACATATAAACTGCAAAGCTCCCTTGTACTTCGTCTAAACTTCTCTTCAAATGTTAGACATAGCTCCTAAATGATATACGCGAATCTGACAATTCTTCCAAAAGATTAACAATGTGCTCATTATTATACACGCTGCGTTGTACAAACTGTGGGGATGCCAGTCCTGGGTTGTCCTGTCGAGAGTTATATGGGCTCTTTAAGCTATCAGAGGTAACCAACTCCAGTTGTGTGAAGTAGCTGCCAAACTAGTTTAAACGAAGGAAGATGTCCAATTACTTCTAGTACTTAGTGGAGATAATTGACATCGAGTAGGAAGGTAAACGAATGGGAGTCACAAACAGGCGAGAACACCCTAGCAAATCTTCTAAAATGAAATATAATCTAAATATTGACAGAAGGGTAAAATTGTATTTCAACACTTCACATATCTAAGTTTTCTAGCTCATACTAAACATACCATGTCACATCAACTGACCTGATTATTACCCCATGATTATATTGGGAACTGTTTAAAGTAGAGGAAACACACTGCCGGAGGTAAACTACCCGATAGCTTGAGAAATTGAAATCTCCTTTTACCTAGTATACTAGGCTGTTGAATGCTCCCTCGTAGCCACAATATATGCTGCCAGCATAGTTCAATGTAACTTCAGCGTTAAAGAACAAAAATTGACATCTTCGCATATCTTCATAAATAGAGATCTTGGATGCTGTTACATCACTTGCCGTTTATGGTAGAATATTGATTGCCAATCTACAAGAAAGTTGCTTCTTGTCGGATCGTTTATTAAATGTTTGCAATCCTAACTCATGTTTAATCGGTGCGCATAAACATAATTTAGATTTGGTTTAAAACTAGTTGAATGCAACACATACCCTTAGTCTTCATGTGGGTTTATAATCCTCATGTGCAATAAAAACGATCACATCTTCAATAACATGTCATGTATTCTATGTAATTCAGATGAATGATGTGAATTTTTGAATTATTTAGAGTAATTTCACACTCACACATGAGCAAGGATGATGTGATGGATGTAACAAGATCATGCATAACTTCATTGAAGTTTAACAAAAAATACAAGTTAAAAAACTATATACAGTGCCACCCAATAAACTTGCATCCTTCGTTGAAGCAATAACATAAATGAATTCTTATACTAGAAATTTTATTTTACAAACATTGGATACGAAGGATGTTACATTTATAGATTCATTTAAAATATAGTAAATAATAGTCCAATTACTAGGGAAAAAATATTATTATTTCATTGATAAAAATGAATATTGTATGACTTGAAAAATATATACAAAAAATCCATGTTTCTACATATCATGCGATCATGTCATTCCGCAATTATTTCATTTTATACTGCCAAAACAAATTTGGAGTCAGCGTGTTGCAAGGAAACCGCATTTGCTCATTTGCTTGATCAAGATCTGAAATAGCAAAATGTAGAAAGCGCATATTGCATAAAAGATAAAGACACACAACCAAGAAGGAGGGAGATATTGTGTGTATGGAATAATATTGAAATTTAATCTGATTTGTATGGAGGAGCTGTGATAAATATGGCAGATTCTTTAAAAAGTTGTGAATAGACCAATGCTCTTGTATGTATAGCACCATGTCATGTTATAAGTACTTGGGTGAGTTTAAGACTACGTTATTCTTATTGATAGTGTTCAACAGAGGTCTCGTTAGACAGAATTGGGAATTGATATAACTAGCCATAGTAAAACCAACTAGAGATAATAAATAATTGAATAAACTACTAACGGTAAAAATTACATACTTTAAATAATAAGATTTTGGTACAAAAATAAGATTTCAATGGAGTTGGAAGGTTAAATATGAACAAGAGAACTCCATGATATGTGCACTTGCAACTGGTATTACATGAGCAATTTTATTGTTTATCCTTCTACTTACATATAGAATTATTAGGACAACTTGTAAAGAAGAGAATAGACTTACCATATAGGAAGCGCCAAGATGTAAGCTATCTGCTACGTATGTCTTCGAAAGTCCGCAAAGTCATTGCAGGTGATCTTGCAATTATCAATGCTCCGGCCGTTTTGATTACACACGACTCAAGAAATTTTTCTGGTTGATAGATACTAGGAAAATTAGCTTATATACATAGCGCGACATAACATTTTGAACTTGGATAATGAATTTCTATAAATTAGCCCCTGCTCTCTTCTGCTGATAGTTCGATTCCTGATCGAATCACGGAGTTCATAGACCGTAGACGCGGATTTACACGTACATGGAAACCGGCTTTTATGGACATGTTTTCGTTTGGAGCAAAAAGAATTTAAGTTCACACTAAGCACAAAAGCCAGTTGCGGTATGAAAGCCATCGATCGATATGCATACCACATGTAAACCGTACATGCTAAGATCGTACTCCTTCTGTAGATGGCTTCAGTCAACAAAACAGGTTCAATAACTGCAGCGGACTGGAGTTTCAAATACAATGGTCTTCGACCAACTGGCAAAAGTGACCCAACAAGTCAAGGGAATCAGCTTTTCATGAGCAAGGGAAAAGTCCTGGGCCCAGGTTGACTCATGTTTCTCTGTAGTAGACAGAGGATGTGTACTTGGTCGCTGTAAGTGACGGGATAAGAAATCATATTGTATTACAGAGTCCCCACTCCAGTATGCAAGGACAAAATGTCCAGTAAATAATCGTAAGTAATTGTTTTTGAACAGAAGTGACTAAACTGCTATATATATCTGTCTAAGGCTAATTGAGCATAATCACGGAGCAGAACCTGAGCTTGTTGTCCAGCAGCATCCCTCGATTTTACCGCTGCCGAACAGCCAGATATGCTTGGGCATGTAAATTTGATTTATATGAGTAACAATTGCACATAACTGCAAGATTCTTGAGATGCACATCATTTCTTCTAAAGAAGCTTCAGAAGGTTCTTACAATCTCGGAACTGCTCCACAGATATGTAAAAGCTCATCAACGTGCAATCATGGCTCGTGTTGGATTTGTCATGGTGAAACATATTGACTTCTAATTTCAAGATTCATTCATGACATCGAGTCCCTGTTCTTAGAATACCTCTCCATGAGTAATAATAACCTGTAGCTGTCACAAGCATCTTCAATATCGTTTCTGTGTGTTCACGTGCTGAAAGATGTTTCTGAGACTATCGCTATGAAATTTTCAGTTTCTGGCTGTGCTACCAACCCGATCGATCAAACCTTCAGTTTCCGGATATGCGCATGTGATGACTACTTTCCGCTACGGATCTTTATAATTATTGAGAAAAGGGACCGACCTTTACATTGACGATCTCTGAGATGAATGGGACGATGGCAGACGATGGAGCTGAAGCCAAGGCCATGAATTATTCACAGGAATTGACGGGAACAATATTCACTCTTTTCCGACTATGATTGGGGGGTGGTTTGATCTGAACTCCGGCAGATCTGAATGTGAATATAGCTTCCAGTGTCTACGATTCTTCTTTCAACGCGTGGAATATATTACGCGAAAATCCTCCATATAAATGAGAGAATTCGTGTTAACTACGGTGGTATGAGACTGTCGAATTCGAGATAAATGGTGTACTTGATAAAATTACTGCAATCACGAGTACCTGTAGTCTGACAGTACTCAGCACAGTGCTTATACATATATCCAGAAGGGTTTATTTTCTTCAACATCTATGTCTATTGAGCACTTTGTTTAAACAGTCGAATTAGTTCTCACGTATTCTAGCCTCACCAGCACTGACAATATTTATCAAAACAAAAAGCCTCAGCACGATTACGATGCCTTGACTCTAATCCCGTCAGGTTACTTCGTTCTCATAGCTTCAATTTTTCGGGAATTTTCTGAGACGTTCACTCCCTTGTACAGGATCTTGTGCTGGAATAGAGCATAGTACTACCTCAGCGAACAACATCAAGCGAAGAGATGTACTAGGGGCTGTCTCATGCTGACTGCTGATCCGTACATGATTGACAAGTGCATGTATATTAGTTGCACGAAGAGCTCTTGAAGCCGTACTCATGTCAACAGCAGGAAATCAAAAGGCGTACACAAGCAAACGCTGAGGTGGCAACTATTTCACTTACTCTAGGTACATTACTCCGGACCCAAGCAGTTTAGATCGTCTTATTGGTCCAGCTGAGGTGGCAACTATTTCACTTACTCTAGGTACATTACTCCGGACCCAAGCAGTTTAGATCGTCTTATTGGTCCAGCAGGGGCCCGCGTAGCAAGCTGTTTTCTGATCGAAGTAGCCATAGACCAGAAGAGAAGGAGTGACAGTTAAAGACTGGAATCATACGGGCATTCTGACTCGCAAATGAAGATTTGACGAGAATTTCACTTTTGATTGCAGCAGGGAGGATGCATCACCATCTTCTCATCAAGAACTACTGCTCTCGTTTCCAAGTCTCGTACCAATACTAGCTTTGAAATTTAAATTCCAGGGTAGGTATCTCCTTCGATTCTAATGATATCCAAAGATCAAACAGAGATGCATCTCTCTTCAATTGGGATCAAAGATACGGTGCATTATCAGGTGGACTGTGCAGAATCTGCCACTCTCGGTATAACCACGAAGACATGGAAAAGCTGATACGACCGAGATGTAATAGGAAATCAGCAGCCTAAAAACAAAGACCAAACCATGTGTGTTGCGGTTCGATGTGTCATATGATCAGTATCGAAATAAAATGTTTATCAAATGTTGCGTTCACTGGTGGTCTGGCCATTATTTTCCTACCTTTAACCTGAATTTCGATGGTAAGTTTGAGCGTCCTCAAGTATCTAACGAATCTTCTCCTTTGCACGGGTAGTTTGTTCTTGTTTTTCTATTAGCCAATCTCTGTTTCTGGCGCTCAAGACGGAGCCTTGGATTAGGTATTGCCATTTATAGGGCATGCAATGCATTCACATTGCAATATCTGCTTGTGTTCGTAGTCAGGATGCACCTCCTCTAAAGTACATGTCGCAGTTCATAGTGATGGAAATGGTTATGCTCGCACCCATTCGGTCTGATAAGTCTTGCTAGTTTTCAGTGATTTTGTTTAATCTCTGCGTAACAGTTTGATACATTTCCATTAAATTCATGGATACGCAGAGGCAGGGCCCATGACATTTTGGCAAGAGTTCCAGTAAAAATGTGTTTCGAATGGCGATGCTCCTGGTGTGGACCTTATTGGGACTGGTAGTTGGTTTAGCACTTGGAGGTGGTCTGCACAACTTGAAGGTTTCACACACTGCAATTGTGCTCCTCGGTACGTTCCCGGCGAACAAGTGTAGTTTCCATCTGAATTTCCATGCACGTCAAGGTCTTGAAGCGTTGATTCAATCAGAATAATGTGCTCTCTGTTAATGTTTAGATATTCCACTGTCGATCCTAAGTCGCAATGCCTTATGTGCAGGGTACCCAGGAGAGCTGATGATAAGAGCATTACAGCGGTTTAGTCTGCCCCTGTTGACCTTCGCTCTGATGTATAGACTTTGTGTGTCAATTGCAGTGTTCTCACTTCATTTACTCACCAGAAAGAAGTTAATAAAGTGCATAAAATGCATATATAGAGCGTGGTCAAAATTCAGTTATAAACGCCCTGCTCAGTGGTGAAAGTGAAGAGCAGATCTGTAAGACCTTAGTATCTGATAACTCGTGCTTGGTTCGGGGATTCTGTGTCTTGGTTGCACTAGGCCTTAACGGTGGTTTTGGCTAAAATTCTTGTATAACAGCTTATTATTTGCAATTTTCTTCTCCACGACTCTCACCAGATACATGTTTCGAATCATTGCCCAGTCAAGCAGGAGCGGAAGAGTGGCAAGATCGGAGGAATGCTTATTACATATCACGTAACCAGCATGTTTGTGGCTGTTTCTATCGGCAATTCTGCAGTGTACATCATCAACCCTGGCAAAATCAGACCCTTCGAAAGGAAAGAAGGAGATGCTAAGTGTCAAGCCGTAACCACCGGTGAAGTGGCAGCTTCTTATGTATTGTGCTTCTATAATAGCGACTTTGGCCTAAAGGCTTCATCTGATATGATTTGAAACACTCAGATGGTTATGTGTTGTCTGATTACAATCCATATCTTTCTATAGTGCAGCCAGACTAACACTTACTGGTACATTATCACTTATCACTGAACTCTGTGGATAACTTGCTGTTGATAGAGAAATTCAAGTAGTGATTGAAATACTACTTTTGAATTTCCTCTTAACCTTGGGCAAGATATCATCCCCACCAACATGACGGTAGCTGTGGTGCTGCCATATTACTTTAGCTTGAACGTGTTTGCGATGATTTCGCTCTGTTTCTTTTCAGAGTAGGTAAGAATCTGATCTTTAGCTCAAATCTTAATTCCCATTATATTGGTAGTTTGATGATAAGCGAAAGGACTAGCTCAAAAAGGGTTTGAAGTAGGATTCCGTTGTGATGACAGTTGCATCGTAGAAGGTTACAAGTGCCGCTGATTCCAAGCGCCAAGGGAAGGCCCGAGTCCATTACAGAGATGATTGAAGTCTTGAACGTAGTGAGAATGAAAACTGTGAGTGCACTTCATTTTAAGGAATTATAATTACTACGGATACGCTGAAGAAGGAAGCAGTTTGAAGTAGGATTTCGCTGTGATGACATTTGCTTCGTAGAAGGTTACAAGTGCCGCTGATTTCAAGCGCCAAGGGAAGGCCCGAGTCCATAACAGAGATGATTGAAGTCTTGAACGTATTGAGAATGAAAACTGTGAGTGCACTTCATTTTAAGGAATGAAATTTACTACGGATACGCTGGAGAAGGAAGCGGGCTTGGTGTTAGCATGATCAACTCATTTGACATAGAGACTACAATCTACTTCGGATACAACGGTCCATGGGGTTTTATAATTTCCATTTTATACGTGTATCAAGATACAATATTTTCACAAAGCTAATGCTTTTTCCAGTCCATAGAGTAAGAGGTAGACAGTAAGGGCTTTCTGTTGTTTAGGTTCTGTTTATCTCACACTCTTCTTCTGTGTCTCTGAACAATTTGATTATATCACAATATCGATGTATCTCCAAACAGAACCACTCATAAACTCCTGGGGTCTCTTTGTTGCTACTGTTGTGGGAAGTATACGGTTCACTTCTTCGTTGCATTACTTCTTGCTGTCCTGATATTATAAAGGGGTGATTCGATTCAAGGGTTCCAGTAAGTTGGTTAAAAGTTGGAAGGAATATGTATTTCACGATTTTAAAAGTACATGAGAGCTCTGGCCATGTGCTTAGATGACCAGTAGAAACGTTCATGTTCTGTAATGACTTCAAAGCCAGTCTGCTATTTCTTATTTCTTGTGATTTGTTATAGGAAGATACCAGGTGAGGAACTTTGAACATTACGAGTGGAAAACGAGAATCTCGATGGTCATGTGATGACTATCAGTGACATGTCAATGATTTACGTAATCATGGGATGTGGTCTACAAAGGTCTTGGCTCCCTGCTTTGGGATGGGGATATCATTCAGTGCAGCTCCTATGCCTGTGACCATGGAGTGCGGTGCAAAGCACGGCTGTCATCCTGCTATTGTGATAGTTGTTATTATATCTGGGACTAACAATGGTAGGGACGGTACTGCCCTATAGTTAGTGAGTGTAGGTGATTTTAGTGTATATACACCCAACACACACCCACGCAGTTTTAGTGATATACACCCAAGAAATGCCACGTTCACTGCGTCTCATGCTGGAGCAATCGCTGTGCACCCCTGCTGCGCGGTTACTTGGGTGTATAGCGTGGCATTTTTGGGTGTGTGCGGTTTAAAAGTGCGTGGGTGTGTGTTGGGTGTTTATACACTAAAATCAACATCACCATAGTTAGTTAATGACATTTAAGTGTTTAATTCGGCTTTGGAAAGGTCCTGTTGTGCAGACATCTTTATTGTAGGGACTTTTCACCTTTCTTCCTAAACATGAGATGCTTTCAGTTTATATCGATAGTTACTGATTTAAAGCATCTTGGAATTAAACTGAAACTTAGAGCTAAACTACGGATTTATTTGTGGTTGTCATCCTAGTGCACCATCGTCTCCGCAGGCATCAGGAAAGCCTGAATTTTCAAGCGACCTCTCTCATCTATATGCACTGGGTTTGTTGTTGGCTATGCTTCGAACTATTTGTAATTTTCTGGGGAGAGGCGTGTGTCACTGTTGTGGTAGACGCATGGTTGAGCAATGGCTCATTGTACATGAAATAGAGATGCAACCTATTCAGGTATATACTTTCTTTCTCGAGAATGAAATCTTCATGTGACTCTCAAGTAGATAGTTTTGGTATAATTCTGGGTTAGCCGGTAACTTGAAACATGACGTGGCTACGGGCGTTCTGGGTGTAGTGCTGATCCGATGATGGTGTTCAAACATCGACATGTGTCGGCCTGTTTGGTAAAATGCCCTTGCGTTTGTTGGGTGCTGATGCTTCAGGTGTGGTACTGAGCCAACTCGGAGACTATACAGTTGCATATAACGTTTGACCTACCTTTATTTGATGCATTTGAAGGATGGTCAGGCATCAATGCTAGGAAAAGGAGCTTGGATTGAGGATGTCATACATGGTGAGCCTCACAATAGGCACGTGGACTGAAGCAGCGGAGTTCCCACGAACAAATAATAGTTAAGGAATATTGTTGCTTCGAGAGTACTTGTCCCATACACTGTATATTTGAATATATGCACGTATCAGATGTTTTGACGTACTTCGAAAATATCAGGTTCGGTTGATCGTCTTGATCTACAGTAAAAGGTTATCCGTTCTCCACACAATATTACCGTAATATACTGCTCATTATTCAAAGGCTTGCACAGAAGGTATACTGTTGGCATAGCTTTGAATTTCAGATAAAAGGTTTTCCGTTTAGAGCTTAATGTTCAAATTACTTTCCTCACAGGGAATCCAGAATTCAACTCTGCTTGTCGCTTCATCGTCAGCCATTCTGGCTCGATTAGTATAAATATTCCCAGAAAATGACGATCTCTGCGTCTACATGAAAAGCAGAAACGATAAGTCTCTCCGAATCTGTACTTCTGACCGGCTCCGTGCTCATGGCTTTTTGGCTAATGGTACACAATTTTCGACCATTTGATAATAATACGATCGTTTCTTGATTCTCACCGTGTGCTTTACCATGAATGTACATGAAAGATTGTAATTACCAAGTAAGTCTTCCAACATCAAACCTGATCGATGACCGTTTAAGTGAGTAATGTTTTACAACTTATTAATAATGCGCTGCTCCTTGGTGTTCATGAGTTTGATAAATTATGATACATTCTCAAAGCGAGTACAAACTCCCTGGAGCTTAAGCGCTCGAAACTGTACTCTGTTCCCTTCACATGGTCAGGTATTTATTCTGCACCGGGGTCTCCAACAAGTGACACGAACCCTGAACACTGCGCGCATCTTTATTGGACTACATCAACATACTTTCGGCACGTATTTTACTTCAACTTCAACGCAGTAGTGGATGGTACCGAGATCGAAAGTCTAAGATATTGTTCGGACGTGCTCAAAACATCACGCAAACTAGAATTTCGGGGTGCACCCCAAACGCATGCCGTCTCAGCTTTTGACGAACCTCATGACTACTGTACTCGTCAAAATGGACAATAGCTCCACGTCGAAGGTCGTTGGAGCAACAGATATTGTAAACAATTGAGATACGATTGGGAAGCTTTTTGAAAGTTGAACAAAAACACAAGAGACCATGCCATCTATGCGTTTAGCTACAGTGGAAGAAGTCGAACACACAAGGAACGCACATCAAGTACAGTTAAAACAAATCATTACCGAATCAATAACATTCTGCTTCAGGTGTCTTACAACAACTTCAACATGCAGGATGACCCGCAGCTCCAATTCATCAAGTCGCCGGTCTCTGCTTGAAGTCGTGGAGACTCAACACCTGAAAACTGAACCTCGCCAGAGAAAGCTCTGTAGTTCAAAAGTGGATATATTATAACTACGTGTTGCGAGCTTCGACGCTGTCCCTCGGAAACAACTACAAGAAAAATGCTCCTCGAAACCTGTGCCCGCAACGAGATGATAAGCAAGGAGCTAGACGGTCGAAGAAATGCACTCGTTTGAAAGTCCAACCTTAAAATGTCGACAGCTGCACTGCAACCATGGAGGGGACTCAAGCGCCTTCCGTAGATCACTCTTGCTACTTTCCATCGCACCAACTCTGAATAAACCGAGCTCTGCGTGCCGAGCAGGCCACAGCGGAATACAATTCGGACGAGGAGTGTGCCGAGTTGTGGCGCAAGGAATGCGTTCGGAGAATGGCAGCGCACAGTGAAGCCCCGAGCACCAACTGGGCGGGAACATTCGAGGGATCTCTCTGGCTTGACGACATATTGTAGGGCCGGGGCGGTGGCGCAGTGGCCCGGAATTTGCTGCGCCTTCGGTTGCAAAGGTTTTGGCCGAGCAGCGAGCAGTGGAGGCATGGAGGATCATCCACCACAACAGAATCGAAATTTCTCTCGTCTTCCGTGGCGCCTGCGGTGGCATGACGTCGGCAGCGTCCACGTGGACTCACCGGGAGAAGCAACCTCGCGACGGTCCGGTCTTAAGAAGTCGAGCATGATCTGCATTTTCAGAGTGTGGGAGTATTTTTTGTTTGTTTAGGAGTTTAGGAGAGGGGAAGTCACCCCCACCAGCAAAACGAAAGACAGCTGCATTTTCCTCGATCAGCAGTGATTCCTGAACCTACAAGTGAAAATTTATCGAGGAACTTCACTACAAGGGGAGAACCCATTGCTACCGAATGTCGACGGAAACGAGAAGTAGCGCAGCTGCTGGGACGGACGCCGAGAACGAGATCGAGATCGAGATCGATATCCTCGAGCCGACCAAGGAGATTCTCAGGTGCTATGACGAGCGCCTGAACTCGACCGACAGCTGGAATGGGGCGCTTCCTCAAGTTCAGAACAAGCAAATGCTGGAGCACATCGCAGAGTTCACCCAGGACGACGTCCTGGCTCGCGTAGGAAGGCTTTCAGACGAGTTTCGCAAGAGGATCGCGCGCGTGGACACAGTGGATAGGCTGGATAGACGAGTGTGCGAGCTCGAGAAGGAGAACGAGTTTCTTCGGATTGAAAGGGACTCGCAGGCTAGTGACCTTAGGGTAGTGTGCAGGGAGGTCGACACGTTCTTAGACGTAGTGGAGAGCTTTTTAGATGCAGATCATGTTGAGAGGCCAGGCTCCGACGATGCGGGGAGGCGGGCCAGTTCCAGCTCGGTGTCCAAGAGCCCGATCATGTTGACCCTCAAGAGCAGGCCCGAGCCGGAGCGACGGATTGACAGGGACAAAGGGAGGCCTGCGTCGAATGGATCTCGTCCGGCGAGCCCCGTTCCGAAGAAGCCCGGGAGCTCGAATCCGGCCGAGAAAGAGAAAGAGAAAGGCAAACGACCCATGTCTCCGGGAATTCGACCTGCGAGCCCGAGCCCGAGAAGCTCGAAGATGTCGCTAACGCTCTTCGACAAGGGCAAGCGGGCCGTGTCGCCGGGATTTCGGACGTCGAGCCCGAGCCCCAGGAACACGTCGATGACAGTTTACAATAAGGAGAAGGGAAATCGTCCTCTGTCTCCGGGTATTCGACATGCAAGCCCAAGCCCGAAAAAGGCCTTCATGAATATGACGGACACCAGAAAGAGGAAATGGCCGGAATCAGAACGCCAATCGCAGGACGTGATTCATGGCAAAGTCGTTCTTCCTCCTGGCTTAATGAGATGGAAAGGATAATCACTTCCCGAACATCAACATCAACACCAACCACATCACAACTTCATCACCATCATCATCATCAACTCTCCGGCACACATCTGAATTTGTTCCTATCTACCCGGTACTAGCTACGCAGAGCCTGACAACTGCCTCGATATTGTTCGGAACAACTTAAGCTTGAAGCTAGTTGGAATTGGAATTGGATTGAAGACTTTCGCATGTCCACATGTACATAATAGACCAGTATAATAGGAGAACCCCGTACGATGACCTGGCTGGCATTCTCGATGTAAGTCGCAGCGAGCACATATGAAACTACTTCTTAACCACCCCCTAGTTCCAACGAAGAACATTAATGGTCTGCCACGAAAGAGAAGAGTCGAAGTATCGAGAATGATCAATTTTGAAGGAGGTTTTTCCAGCTGAACGGCCGTTTCATTCAGCTCCCTAAGTTCACCCGGTTCCCCAGTGTTAGGTTGGTATTCCATACATGTTTGTACACTACTGGATTTCGCTACTACTGTAATAAACTACAAAACGCCCACTGTGCGGGCGGAATGGGGCGGCTCCACATCCGCAAAGGAGTGTGTAATTTTGACTCAGATTCGGCCCAAACCATCAGGGAGTTCAGACACTCCGCAGGTGCCATGGCCTTCCGGGATTTTGGTAAGATATGTATCGTCGAGAAAGCGGCCCGACAGCATGGTCCAACAGGGTTCGAGCGAAGCCCAGCGCTAGAGAGACCCTCGGAGTACACGGGGTGGCACAACAGCAGCCGCTGCAGTTTTCTTCGAGCCAAGGGATTTGGCTGGACGTAGAGCGCAGGATGAGCGGATCTGTGAATGAGTTGTACCGAGAGTCGTGCTGTCCACTATTATTATTGTTTCGAGATCTTGAGGTCACTCGCAGATCTTCTCGATTGTGTCACAAGCTGATACCGTATACCTGCCGTCGAACAATGGCTCCGGATAATTCACAGATTCAATAATCAGAGAAATTTCGCGGACGAGGCCGAGGAAAATAAATCTTCGCCTCCGCGAGAGGAGAGAGCCAAGGGAATGATGCGGAGGGAATATGATCGGCCTCTGAGAGACTGGGAGGGGATGCCGTCTTACGCCAACCTTGACCGCAGTCACGGTGGGGCACAATCCACACCTCGTTAACGACGAGTTGCAGCGCCCTTCGGATGTGGCATGAGCATGTGGAGCGCTGAAGAAAAGGAGGGAGGATTCACAGCCGCCATCGCAGCGAACACCTTCTCGGCCTCCTCGCGCGCCTGGTTCCGGGAGGGCTCGGCCCGCGGGGTCACGATGGCAGCGGTCGCCCACTCGCGGCCTGTCGATGTTCCCAAACAAAAGGCTCACGGGCGAGCGGCATGATGGAGCGGAGCGACGCCCCCGACGCGTCGTTGCCACCTCGCCTGGGATGGAATTGGCGTGATTCCGCGGGCCGGGCCGAGTGCAGGAATGTGCTGAAACGGCTGGATTCTTGTCTGTGCCAGAATTGCGAGCGGTGCCGATGAGGTGCAGGGCTGCCCAGTGGCGCGGCTGCAGTGCAACAGGGCCCGACGGGCCCCCAGCGTGCTCGGCGCGGCCGTGGATTCGGCCGCGGGCCTGCAGAGGCGAGGGCGCGAGCACGTGGGGGGTATACAGAGGTTTTAGTCGCAGAGCGCAGTTCGTCGCCGAAGGACCGCGTTTTCGAGCTCTGAGAGAGCTCTCTCAGATGGCGAGAGAGCTACATTAGACTTGGAATGTCAACGAAAACGAGACGAAACACAGCTGCAGGTGGTGTTCGATCATCTGCGATGAAGATTCTGGAGCCTGCAAGTGAGATTTTCCGATACTACGAAGAGCGGATCAACTCGAAGGGGAGGACATGCTACCGAGTGTCGTCGGAATCGAGGCGCAGCGGTGCGGCCGTGGTCGCTCGCGATAAGTCGGGGTCCAAGATCCTTCAACCCGCAGAAGAGATCGTTCGATGCTACGAGGAGCGAATTTACTCGCTGAAGGGAGTGAAGGGCGCGATTCAGGAGCGGATTCGATCCATCGAGAGTACGAGTGTGAACGGGCCCCTGCACGTGCTCACGGACGAGGTGGTGGAAGAGCAGATTGTCCTCAAGGTCGACGAGCATGCCGAGCATGCCGTGCTCCGCGAGCAGGACGATCACGAGCAGGCGGTGGGCGTGGGCGTGGATGTGGAGGTGCAGGTCGAGGTGGAGGTGCAGGTCGAGAGCGGCAAGATTTCGGCCGCCGGGATGGACAGCTTGCACAAGGAGATCGAGTCGGTGCGGGTGGACAGGTTGGATCGGCGCGTGAGCGAGCTCGAGAAGGAGAACGAAATGTTGCGCAAGGAGAGGGATTTACGACTGGGCGATCTGAGGAGACTGTGTACAGAGGTAGACCAATTCCTGGACGTCGTGGAGAGTTTTCTAGACGAGCCGTGCTGTAGTAGAGGGAAGGGCCCCGCGTCGCACGAGGCGGGCAGGCGAGCGAGCTCGAGCTCAAGCGTGAAGAATTTGACGATGACAATGAAGACGCTGAAGAACAGCACCGACAAAAGGAAGAGGCCGGAGCTGGACCGGAGTCGGAAGCCCCTCAAGGGCTCGTTCTACCGCGAGAAAACGCCGGTCGCCTCTCATGCCACGAGCACGGCCAGCTCGAGCCTGAAGAAGATGCTCATGATGGGAAGTCGGAAACGAAAACGGCCCGACGTGGAACGCCGAGAAGTCATCGTGCGAAAACTTGTGCTTCCGCCGGGCCTGCTTCCCTGGAGGCCGTGACGGAATCGGGACGCGACGCGAGTCACGAGTTGAACCGCACACGGGTCGAAACCGAACCCATCCAGAAGACTGACTGGACTGTATTGTACACGAGCTCTAGATGACGATCTTCAATCCAGAGTTGTAACCATCCTTTCCTTCTTCCTGCTCTGGGACCAACCTCACCTCACGTACCTGGCAGCAGTCGACTGCCGCACTGGATCGAGCGCATTAAATCTAAACACTCAAACTGGCAGGAATTGGATTGAAGAGCTTAGCTGGGTCGATCTGTATATAATCAAAGGAAGCAATTTTTGGCACGGGGATGCATGTTGTAGTGATTATATATATACCTGTGAACAGAAGGTATTGCAAATGTGTACATTCCAATTGAATTTCAATCGTTAACCATCCTTTCGGAAGGGTGACGTCTAGCGTTGCCACTTGAGACTTAGTGCATATAGTACTTGTGTACAGGTTGAACAGGATTAGGAGATTCGAATGTCCCACTTGTGATCAGATCTGTTTTCTCTCGACCTAGCTCTGTCAGCCGCTCACACGGTCGATGTAATAATCGGTGGACCCGAACTATTGTGAACAACGTCACCCGTATGTTCCGCAGCAATAAAGCTTCGAACTAACGAACCGCTAACTGAACCATATGAACTTAGCCAACAACCTGCAATTTTGCCCGAACCGATCCCCCTTCGAGTTGTAAAAGTAGAGCAGAGCTCTCCTAGCTTCAAGTAGAGATTCTGGAGAGGAGCTCTCCGCAAATGTATAGAAGTCAAAAACTCGCTTGACACTTTTATTATCATGGCCAGTTTTGATGTATAGTTTCACGATGGGTTCCCTATCGAATTGTATCAGATTTACTGATCCTCATCCAATCTCCGCACCATTTGTGAGAGTCTCTCATGGCTTGATTGGACTTTGCCCAGAAGTAAATGTGGGGGAGAAATATTGCGGTGAATATCACGAATCTCTCGCCAACAACTTCTAAAAGGACAGAGTTCATAGAGGTGATTAGCGCCACGTGTAAGTAAGCAAATCAAGAAGTCGAACGGACGCTAAATGGGAGAGCTGTCAACTCTCTATGATGGTAACCAAAGCATTGAAAGTATCTCCGACATCTCAAACGATATATAAGCTCTCCGTGTGCAGAGTAAACTGCGGAGTATTTTTCATACTAACTACTTTAAGGATTTGAATCGTGCTAGTTCTGGTCTAAATAAACGAGTGTACTTCTTATCCCTAGCACTATATATTAAGGTGCTTTGTCCACTATACATGTTATTTAGTCTAAGTACATTTTACCTACAGCAATGCAGAGCTAATTTTTCTAATAATATGTGCTAAGTACTTCATCTATTTTCAAAATATGAATAGTATGTATCAGAATTCCTTGTGAATTTCGTCAAAGTGTAATTGTACTAGCTTGTTATTTTTCTATAACGTAGTCGCATTGATTATGTTTTGTTAAAAAAGTTCTACCCTAAAATGATTAAATTTCACAAATATTTTTGTATTCACAAAGTTCCTTAATCCTTATGGACTTTTGCGCCTATTCTGAGAATGATGATTTTTGCCATGGCAATTCAGTCTCCAATTATTTGATTCATAGAGAAATTGTTTGCTGTTCGCTGAAAGCTTCACTCGGAAGCATATATAACATGAGCATTCAAACTCTAAGTTAACTTTAGGTTTCACAAATAAAACATTCACAAATTACCTTACTTTGTTCATAATTTCAACACCTAATACTAATTGCTTTACCACCTGTCTTTCAGTATCAGAAATCACTCTCCAACTCACCATTTCAAACAATTGTTGATCATTATTGTTTTGCTAGAGAGAAAGATTTTGTGAGCTTTTTATGTCATGGCAAATACCTACGTGCTAATTGGGTTAAACTAAATTGAATTATGAGATTTTCCCCTTAATTCATGTTATGGTGACCATAACTTCTCTAACATATATAATAACATTACAAAAAAGTTTAGATAGAAATCTAACCTAGGTTAATCTTTAAACTAGAGCTAACTAGAATTAAGTCTGGACAAAGTTGCTAATAAACTTTACTTGTGACCTTCTTGCAAAAGCTAAAAAGTGGCAAATGTCTACTAAAAATCTTTTAAAAAAACTTTGATCAATGCATAAGTTATATTGAATTTTTCTCAATCTTGTCTAGTTCATACTTTTTGTCAAAATTTGCATCTATGATAAAGTGATAATTGGTGTCGATATATTTCACTTTGATATACAAGTCGTAATTCACTCTAAGTATCACAATGATGATTAAAAATTACATCTTTCATCTTCATCAACTATATTTCTTAAAAATCCATGTTGGGATTTGGTTGTGATTACTAAGGAGGCAAAACCTAGTTTGCATTACTAAACATTGTATTATTCTTGTGTAATGTGTTTTAGTTGTTTTTAAAATTCATATACCAAAAATAAAAAATAAGCAATTTGGTTAAGTGATGTATGAAATTGTGTTGTGTGCCGGATTGTTCTAGTTAAAAACTTATCGTCTCCTTTGATTTTAACAAAGACAAATGACAAATTTGATAAATTTGTCTTGATTGTAATCATCTTCAGTTAGTTAGAACTAAAGTAGAGTTTACTCAAGATGAAGTTATAATTATCTTATAGTGCATTATTCATAGTTGCCATGTCAGCAATCTGTGTACTTGGTAGGTAAAGAGTAAGTGTGTTAGGTCGCTGTCACATGACTGGCACTAAATACATGGCTAGGGCAATAGCTGGCTGTCGTAGGTCTGACTTCACTAGCAGGAGTTAATCCGACAGCCTGAACCACAGCAGCTGCTACCTTCGGAGTGAGAAGTAGCCGAAAAGCTACTGCTACAATAGACTCCTCGTTAAATCTGTCAAGAGAAATTGTAATAACTCATCAAAGGCTAAAACTGCAGTATAGCAGCAAAAAGGTCGAATCCACAGGGACAGAGGCAACACACAGAGTACAAAGTCTCACGCTTTAACAGACTATTGAAGAGTTTGTATTCTCAGGCGACTGTCACTCCCAGAAATACTGCAAGTGCTCAACTCGGAGGACGCACAATGCAGCGTAGTTCACCCCAACACACACCTGAAACTATAAAAACACAACTCAGAGATCGATTAGTACCTTCATTCAAGGTTCAGGGGGAAAGTTTCTCAAGAGTACATTCAAAGGATCTGCAGGTAGTGTTTTCCAACTCCGGATTGTTAACTCTGACTGTTAGAGCAGAGCACTCGGGTTGGACTTCCTACTTCGGATGCGGTACCTTCGTCAAACCGAAGTCTCTCACACGGTGAACAACAGACTCAACTCACAAAACGCGCAGAGAATACAGGAACCAAACAGAGAAACTCAACTGGTAAACGATCTAGTGTCACACCATAACAGTCTATTGACGAGTTTGAATTCTCAGGCACTAGTCATTCCCAGATATACTGCGGAGGCTACCCCTGAAGTCACTTGAGACAGCGTACAACATGAATTGTTAACCAAGGTTTACTCAAAGTAACAAAACTTCACTTTGGCATTCAGGGGAAAAATCCCGAAGGAGTACAAACAAGAACAATCACCCAAAGGTGTAAGTCCGAACTGCTCAAGTATCTAACCAGTCCACTAGCTCTGAACATTCAACAATCACTCCAAAGGTGTATGTCCGAACTGCTCAAGTATCTAACCAGTACACTAGCTCTTAACATTCGGCCGAAGGCCTTCAGCTACAAAATGCGGTAACTTCGTCAAGCTGTAGCTCCTCTTGCGCGGTGACAGAACCAAGGACATAAACACGCAAGGAAAATGAATTCCTGAACTGCACTTCCGAAACTGAAAAATCCCCCAAGGGGAACGCCTTGAACTTCTTTATACCTTGTAAGTCCTAACTACCTAACACTCTACACTACGCTACACTCCATGTATCCTGCTATGCCTCCTGTGCGAAGGACGACCGCGCACTGCGTCTCTACCAGACCAGTCCTCTACTCTACTGCCCAATCCTAGCCGCCGCAACACCGCAGTCACCTCCGCCTCGAGTTTCGCAATGGCGTCTTGCGACCTCGCCTGGAAGGCATGTAATCGCTTCGCCACTCGCCGCCGGCTCCGACTTTCACCCGACATCAAGTCCACCGCACAAATCTCTAATTCGCGCAAGGTGATTCTCTCCTGCGCAGCCACTTCCCAGCGAGTGTAACCTCTCAGACAGCGGTTCACTCGCTCTACCAACTCTTCTCGTGTGCGATCTGTCGCGCGCCAGTTGTCGCCTTCAACCTCTACCAACTGCAGCTCTGCCTTCACACGCTGCACTCTCAATTCGTCGCACTGCGATTGCAGGCGACGCAGTAACTCCTCATCTGCCTGGCGTGCGATCTAACACTGTTCCAGCAACCGTGTCTGCCGCACGAGCTCCTCCGCCAAAGTGCTATTCTGAGCTCGCTCAGAATTGAGCTCCGCCTCGAGCTTCTCCCGCTGCTTCTCAAATTTTCTATGTGCCTCGACCGCCTTGTTATCGCGCATCTGGTTTACTGCCTTCTGCAGTTTCCGCAAGAGTGTGAGATGTCCGTGCAGGGCATCGTTCTTCAACCCCAACTCTCTGCACCTGTTGTCCACGGAACTCAGTACACGATTCGTCCTGCCCTTCCGAACTCGACTCATCATGTTCATCCTCTGAGGATCTCTGTCGCCATAGAAATCCTCGGCGATTTCCTGGAACTGGGTCGCGTGGCTTCTGCTGCTGCGATCGCCGCTTCACTCCCGGTCAAGATATCCAATGCGGTGAGAGATCTGACTTCCAATACACACTCGTCCGTGCCGCATGATGTCTTCCTTGGCCCGAAGGCCTTCTCGCTTCCTCCGAAGGCGTCCATGCCTTTGGTGCAGGGAGGTCCGCTGTCCCCTCGCTAGCTCGTGCACTCGCATCCTCCCCCGAGGATGGCGAGTTTTTCCTCTCCGCAGCCCGTGCAGTGTCTGCGCTGCTTGCCGGCAGGACGAGCCTGCGAGCCTTCTGCTTGGGACGACTACAAAGCTCATGAATCGTTTGACTTCGGCTGGGAGCAACAACATTGTCTTGCTAACTCTGCTCTGCCTCTCCATCCCACTTCCGCTTCCGCGGCACTCGTGCTGCGCGGGGTTCTTCCTCTGCTCTCGGTTGAGCTGGTGGCGTGCAGGCGGGCGTCTCGTCCTCGTCGGTGTCGACTTCGACATCCTTCAAGTACCGGCTCGGATTGCTGCGTGACAGCAAGGGAAACTGCACTCGCTCCGTGGCTGTCAAGCATCCCATCGATCGATAGAAATTGATCAAGAAGGGGGAGAGGTGATTGATCAATCCCCCCTTCTCCTCCTACGTGTGTTGTCTCGTCGCCTTCCAGAGAATCTGAGCCCAATGGATCAGAGCTCCAGCCAACGCCAGCTCCACGAACCCCACCTGCCAAGAAGTCATGTAGGTGGTCCGGTGCGGCTGCAAAATTTGGAGTAGTGCTACCGCGACATTCCTCCGCAAGCGATCCTTGTAGTCACGGGTCTTGTACCCGTTCTTGCTCGACTTGCTGTGCTTGAATAAGGCCCCGAAGGAAATCTCTTCCTCCTTCGTGACCTGCACACTCTCACATTCAAAAAGTAGATGGTCTTCTTCTCCCGCGCACCTTCCCAACACTTGCTCCCAGTCGCTGACCTGCCATCTCTCCGAATGCGATCGGAATCCGCGCGGA